TCTACAAGATTAAGCAAGTATCTTAAAAATCTACCAGTATGTGGTGCTGTCTACCCACAAACCAGGATACACGAGAAATCAAATGATGGAGGTGGAACCCAATCCACTGAGAATTATATCAGCTGATGCACTGTAGGCATTTTTGTTTCCCCTGCTTGAAACCTAGCATCTAAAGAAGTGATGTTCTTCTAGAGAACATTACTTTAGTTATATTTAAATTGAAATAGTATTTCAATTGAAATTTGGGGCTCACTGTACCATCCACAGGCAGAAAAGGTGATCTTTCCAGTAGCAGTCTTTGTGTTCCAGGAGATCCTCTGCCTTGGCTGGACTGTACCAATAGGTCCCTCTGTCTTCTGGCTTCTCAGTAGAGGATGTAGCAGACAAGAGGAGACATCCCTGTTCCTTGGGGGGGCTGCCCTAAGGAGACTGTTCTACACTAGTGGTGTCTTCTGTATCAGTCACCCCTGTATCCGCATTCGCCTACATGATGACTGTTCATTGCCCCCAAGTGCCCACTCGATAAAAGCAGCATACTCTACAGCCCGTGGCATTTTTTTGGGTATGGATCTTGAATGGATATTGGCATCCTCACCCCTCCTCTTCCTCTCTTTTGTGCCCTGAGGTGAGCAGCTCTGCCCTGCTGTACAATACATACCAACATGTACTGCTTCACCATGGGCCTAAGACAATTGGACCACTGATGGTGTCCTGAAACCACCAGCCAAAACAAATCTTGCCCTTTAACTTGAATGTTCCAAGTGTTTTGTTACAGTAAGGACAGTGTGTTAATTTGATGTAAGTTTATACAGTGTAGCCGGGCATTGGTGGCGCACGCCTTTAATCCCAGCACTCGGGAGGCAGAGGCAGGCAGATCTCTGTGAGTTCGAGGCCAGCCTGGTCTACAGAGGGAGTTCCAGGACAGCCTCCAAAACAATACAGAGAAACCCTGTCTCGAAAAACTAAAAAAAAAAAAGTTTATACAGTGTAATGGAAGAAAGCATAGTTCCTCAAGCATTATTTTGTTATATGAGAATATTCAAGCTCCTCTCATCCAGTATTTACTCTTCCTATAAACTGTTGTTGTTGTTGTTGTTGTTTTTTTGTAAAGACAGAGTCTCACTATATAATTCTGGCTGTCCTGGAACTCGTTGTGTAGACCAGGCTGGCCTCTACCTCATAGAGATCTGCCTGACTCTGCCTCTCAAGTACTGGGATTAAAAATGTGTACCACCATACATGGTGAGTATTTTTTTTTAATTTAATTATGTGTATGTGGGGGTATGTGCACATGAATGCAGGTGCCCATAGAGGTCAGAGGTGTGAGATCTCCCTGGAGCTGGGGTTATAGGTTGTAAAACACCTGATGTGGGTGCTGGGAATTGAACTCAGGTCCTCAGGAAGAGCAGTATGTGCTCTTAACCACTGAGCCATCTCATCTGTTCAGCCCCCTAAATGATGATTTTTGTATTTAAGATTTTAATAACATGCATATGGCAGCTCACAACTGACACAGGAGCTGTGATGATGGCACATGAGATTGGAGTTGAAGAATGGGAAGGAAAAATGATGGCTATGATCTTTCAAAAGCAATGAAAGACAGCAAGTCACAAAACCCATAAATGTTACATAAGCACACGCATGATACTAGCAGTATGTAACAGCTCTAACACAGGTTATCCATTTCCTGATAGATTCTAAACTGGTGTAGTGGTGTATGCCTGTGATCTCAGCATCAGCACTTGGGAACCGGAGGTGGGAGAATCAGAAATTCAAAGTCACTCTCAGGTACATAGCAGGTTTGATGTCAACCTGGGCTACATTAGACTCTGTGTCAAAAACAATAATGGCTGAGTGTGATGCACTCAGGAGGCAGAGGCAGGTAGATCTCTTAATTTGAGGCCAGCCTGGTCCACAGAGTGAGTTCCAGGACAGCCAAGGCTACACAGAAACACCCCCATCCACCACTCCCAACCCCGCAAAAGTTTCTAACAACAAAATAGATCACATCACTAGAACATTTACACAACTCACATAAAACCAACAGTCCATAGGGGCCCTGGACGATACAGTTAGTAATGGAAGTCAGCCAAAAGTTAAGTACACAAGTGAATATTAAGATATAAATAACTAAGCACCAGGCCAGGTAGATGGCTCACTGGATAAATGTACTTGCTGCCAAGCCTGGTGACCTAAGTTTCATCTTTGGAAACCACATTGTAGAATGAAGGAATAGACCCCTCCAAGATGTTTTGTGACCTCCTTATGCACATTATGGAACACAAGGGCTCCCTTTTCCAATAAGTAAATCTAAAAATGGTTATTTAAGAAAAAATAGTCCAGACATAGTTAGTGGTGCTCATCTTTAATCCCAGCAATTGGGAGGGAGATGCAGGTGGACTCTGTAAGTTTGAGGCCAGCCTGGTCTAGAGTTCCTTGATAGCCAGAGCTATAAATAGAGGGACTCTGCCTCAAAATAATAGCAATAATTTTGAAGGGGCAATATTAGGATGTGTTGAAATGACACCATGTAGGTTTGGAAAGGGTAAATAATGTCAAAATGTTCTAAGTTTCATGTACTCAGGAAGGGATCAAACTACAAATCAAACATAATCTCTAGTAATCATTATTAGAACATCTATAACTCAATATAGAAGCAGAATTAACAGCTCTGAGTTCAAGGAGGGAAAGAGGGCTGAGGTCTCAGCTCAGTGGCAGAGTGCTTGCCTGGCATGGGCAACACCTTGGGCTCAAACCCCAACACTGTCTTCCACATGAAAGCAAGAAACTAATGGGCCAAGTAGGGCATAGCAAGGTGTAGACTGCATATATACATGCATATTGTACTGGCTGGGTTTGTGTGTCAACTTGACACAGCAGCTAGGATCTCTTCAGAAGGAGTCTCAGCTGAGGAAATGCCTCCTTGAGATCCATCTGCAAGGTATTTTCTTATATAGTGATTAGTGGGGGAGGGCCTAGCCTATGATGGGTGGTGCCATCCCTGGGCTGTTGGTCCTGTTCTATAAGAAGGTTGGCAAGCAAACCAGTGAGCAGGCTACCTCTTACTTGTCTCTTGCATCAGCTCCTGCCTCTAGGACCCTGCCCTGTTTGAGTTCCCACCCTGACTTCCTTCAGAGATGAACAGCAATGCTGAAGTGTAAGCCAAATAAACCCTTTCCTCCCCAACTTACGTTTTGTTTATGATGTGTTATCACAGCAATAGAAATCCTAACTAAGAACACATATTAATGAGTCAAGTAACATTATATATAGAATAAATGCTTAAGTTAAAAGCTAAAAATAGGTGAATGAATTACATAAAGTATATATTGAATAAAGACCTAAAGTGTAAGGAATTAGTTGTAAATTAAGGACCATAAGAACACTCTAAGCATAGATACAGAGAACTTGAAAATAGGAAGTTGGGATGATCCTGTTATTAAACATCACAATGTCATTAATAATAAAGAGGGACTTTCATGTTGCTAAGCAATAGAAAGCACCTGCATAGTTTTCAGTATTTCTGAAAATACCTGAAATACTGTAAGTATCGATGTCTCTGACACTGCTCCTAAGAGCCAAAGAGCTCAGAGCAGTGGAACAGCAGATGCCAAAGGACAAGACCAGCCAGCAAACTGGGACAGTTGTAATCTAAAACCAGAAGTGAGCTTGTTTTTTTTTTTTTTAACTTGCTTTTATTTTTTTGAGACAGGGTTGCTCTTTTTACCTGGCTGTTCTGGAAATGGCTCTGTAGAATAGGTTGGTCTCAAACTCAGAGATCTGCCTGCCTCTGCCACCTAAGCGCTGGGATTAAAGAGATGCATTACCACTGTCCAGCTTGCAAGTTAATTTCTAAACATAGCAAAAGCAAAGTATTAATATGTTTCAGCAATTGACAGTGGCTGCCATGGATTCACCACGGAAGCCTTTTTCCATGCTGGGTTAGCGCTACCTCCAGCTTTGTGACTTTCCTCTTTATTTTTTGCTATGTTTGTATTGAACATTGAGGCATGCATGAAAAATTGAACAGTAAAAGTCAATAATTATTATGTATGCATCAATGTGTTTACTTTGTTAGCAGGCTTTGGAAATTACTCTCCTAACATGTCATGGTACAGATGGCAATTCCTCTAGGTTTTGAATATTTATATGGTGCACTTTGACCTTGGAACCTAGAAGTTTTACATAAATTCTTTGGGACTCTGTAAACCCCAAATACTTACCTACATACAGATGTTTTTCCCTTCAGCTAAGCAGGAAAATGTCATGTGTTGACTGCAAGCACCATACAGAACGCTAGGGGGTGCTACAGAGTAAGGAAAGGAAAGGGGTGCAGCACTCTAGAACTCAGAAAAAGATTAGAGGATCATAAGTTCATGCTCAAAACAGTTAGCTTGTGTAGAGTTACAGGCCGGTAAGTGCTACATCCATTTTAGATTTCCACGATGTCAGAATGTAACCAAGCCAACGAAGGTATAGAGGTACACTCAAAGGAGTTAATAATCATAGGCCTTTTGGGAAAAATGCACCACCAACATGCAATTAAGATGATCTTGTGTTTTCTAGAGCTGCTAGTTAGAAAAAAAATTTAACCTTGATTTTAAGAATTTAAAAATTATAAAAACTCTTGCAGTGAAAATACACCATAAAATAAATATGCACCATGGAATAAGATTTGTTAATAGTTTCTCAAATCAAGATGCCCTGGTCCACATTGTTAGGATCATCAGATTTTTTTCCCTTTGAAAACATCAGTAAAAAACAAATTATAAATAATTAAATAAATAAATAACGAAGAAAACATCAGTACTGGAGGGATGGTTTTAACTACTTTTTTTTTGTTTGTTTGTTTCCAAAATAAAATTTACTATGAAAAAACAATGTTCAGTACATCTGCATTTGGCATATTTGGAGAAAATCCTCCATTGCCTATCCTATCATGATAAATTTAATGTTTTATAACTAAACCACTCTTGTTATATCTTTTGTTGCCATCTTAAAAAAATATGGAGCCCTTCACAAATTTGCATGTCATCCTTGTGCAGGGGCCATGCTAATCTTCTCTGTATCCTTCCAATTTTCGTATATGTGCTGCCGAAGCGAGCACTGTTTTTAACTACTTTGTCCTCTGACATTTGTAACTACATAAGCTGAGTGGTGAAGACAAAGGCAAAATGGGAAAGCTAAGCAAAATTCTGGCCCCCAAAAGGGCACCGGGAGGTTGCAGTGATTGGGAGGAATCCCTGTTTCTGGTGGAGCTAGAGTTGGGCTCTGTGGAAGGGAGCTTGAAGGGAGCCCTTCTGGCTGTTTCTGCTCTGAGTTTGTATATCAATGAGCACACATGAAACTGTCCCCTCGTTAAGGCCAGTACTATATTGATTTATTGGAGTTACATGTGGGTCTTCTCTTTTTTGATGTTCTAATTTCCTTGGGGTTTGTTTTGTTGTCACTTAATTAGGTGTTGTTTGCATATTTGTTTTCTGGAAATTGTGGTGACTGCAGAGGGCCTCCTTCTATAGCCCAGACTAACCTGGGAACTGATTTTCCTGCCTCTCAGTCCTCTTGAGTGCTGAGCTGCATGCGTATTCCACTACACCCTGATTCAACCAAGCAACTATTGCTGTCAACTCACAACTCAATTCTGTTCTGCTGGTATACTGCCCTGTTGCATTCTCTAGGTTCCAATTGGCTTTGTGGGCAAGGCTTAGGAATAGCTAATGCATCCACATGGCATCATCCAGGCTGTATTCTAAGGATTTAAGCAAGATACACCTGCTTAACATTCAGCTCTGGGTAACTGTAGAGTCGCACTTTACAGAGCTTCTTGTGACATGAGGCATGTGTCTGTAGGCCGCCCACCTGCTGCCATCTTCCGTTTACTCCCTAAGCATCGACCACGCTATAGCCACATGCTCTGTGATCCAGTGTACTGTAGTTAGATTTTTTGTTTTGTTTTGTTTTTTTCGAGACAGGGTTTCTCTGTATTGTTTTGGAGGCTGTCCTGGAACTCGCTCTGTAGACCAGGCTAGCCTCAAGTAGTTAGATTTATAGTGCCTTTCTGTCATTCATTTCCTTTTCTCCTGCACTCTCTCCTCTCTACCTTACTTGAAACTCCCGAAAAGGATGTGATTCCTTCCCCATTTTATAGATGACAAGAACTCGTAGAGAGCTTCAGATTTCTGTCTAAGGGTTTTGTTTTGTTTTTTTACCCCCTGTGGAGCAATCCTATTTTACACTGTGAATATTGAATATGAATTACTCTCATTGGTTAATAAAAAACTGACCAGCCAGTAGCTGGGCAGGAAATTAGGTGGGAAAGTCAAACTGAGAATGATGGGAAGGAGGACAGAGTCAGGAGAGGCACCAGCCAGCCGCTGAGCAAGCAGGATGGGTAAAAAATGAGGTAATAAGGCTACAAGCCACAAGGCAAAGCATAAATAAAAATATGGGTTACTTTAAGTAGAAGAGTTAGCTATCAACAAGCCAGAGCCACCAGCCAAGCATTTATAATTCATATTCAGTCTCTGAGCTGGTTATTTGGGACCAGGCAGTCAGGATAGGATATTTCTGTCTACAGTTTTCTGTTTACAGTTTTTTCCACTTCAAAAGGGAGTCACTGAATGGGAAAAGAATGACCTTCATCTGTGACTTATGTCCTTCAGCTTCATCTCCCTGCTTACTAGCGTGGGCATCTGAAAAGCTTTGTTCTCTTTTTGTAGACGAAGACACCAAGGTACAGAGTAGCATCTGGTGAGGGATTTTGATGGTTGGAGGCCAATCTAAGCAAGTGATGGTGATCTAACATTAAAAAACTACAATAGGATGGAGAGGAAGTGCCCCTACCATGAGATATAGGATGGAGAGGAAATGCCCCTACCATGAGATGCTTTTAATGAAGTGACAATAGAATTCTGCTGGGCCAAGCACATTCCGGTCCTCAAACTAAAGCACATGAAGGGAGCACAGGTGGCAAACAGCAGGGGGCGCCCTTGCTAAGCCTTAGGGGACTTGGAAGCCTGTGAGTGCTTTTTCTCTGGTGATCCTAGACTGTCAGCTTTTCCCCCTCTTAACTTTGCTCAGGGCACACACATTACTTTCTTGACAAAAATGACCCCAGCACACCAACAGCACGGCTTCCTGCCCTTTCTCCTCATGACCTGAGGGTAGCAAAGCCCGAATGACTGGCCAGCTGTGTACGAGGAGAGGTGTGAAGATTCCCATTTCTAGGATTTTAGGATTCCAAATGCAGCCTTCCTTCTCGTGCAAGTCCCTGTCACACCCTTGTATCCCTATGGCCTCTCCCTGTTCTGCATGTGCAAGTGGGGCTTAAAAACTACTTTCTTGGGCTGGAAAGATGGCTTGGAGATTAAGAGCACTGGTGTGGTGGTTCAGAACGGCCTGTGACTCTACTTCTAGGTGGCCCAGTGACCTTTTCTAGCCTCTATGGGCATTGCACACATGTGGTCTACTTAGGTACAGGCAAAACTCTCCCATTCATAAGATTACAAAGACATCTTTTAAAAAGATGCTCTCAGAGTAATAGAGCAGGTTCGTTTGGGCAAGAACACTGTGGAAACACATTGCTTTAACTTAAAGGCAATGCCCTGCACCTAGCAGGCCTACAAGGTAGGAATGTGGAGCTTAGTAGTGATTTGCAGCTTTAGAATCTCCGGAGTTCCATTCAGCCCTCTTCCACAGTGATAAACAGCTAACATGACCTTTGCAAACACAGCACCAAGACCCTCCTTGGGCGATGCCTTCTCGTCTTCCCTTTGCACACAGCACACCAGAGCTGGCTTTTCCTTCCAGTGTGTGACCTCCACCTCTGTATGACAGTGGGCGGGACGCTGTGCTTGGTGGTTCCCAAATACAAGGAGCTCCACCCCCAAATCCTGAGCGGTTACAGAAGAAAGCCAAGGCTCCTGTCTTCTCTCTCTCTCTCTCTCTCTCTGGACCCCCATTGTGCAGCTCGGCTTGGGACCAAGTCTTCAGGGGGGCTCAGCAAAGACTTGGTGACAGGCTGATTGATGGATTCCCCGCCTCTGGCCTGCCTTCTTGCCCACTCCTGCAGGCTCTGGCCTGGGTCCACTGTCCAGCTGCCCCGGGGGCTGCTGTTCTTTGTTGAGTCAGCACTAATGAGTCAAGGCCAAGATCAGCTGGGAGCAGGGTTGGGCGGGAGGGAGACTCTGGGGAGACTGGGGAGGGTGTAAGACCTTTGTGCCTCAAAGGGAGGCATGGTAGTGAGGCATTAGTGGAGGGATTGTGTGTATCCACAGAGCGTGGGCAAGGGGCTGCTGTAACGAAACCTCTGGCCTGTGGTGTGAAGGGAACCCTTTCTTGTAGGAAAACTTGGAAGTTTACTCAAATCATGTTAACGGTCTCGAAAATTCTCAGTCATGCCCCATACTCCACACTGTTAAAGATGACAAAATGGAACCAGATCTCTATGAACTCCTCAGTGGGAGACACAGAGAAGGCATGTGAGTACAATTTCCACACGCCTGCAAACACAGGCCAGGCACGCCACTTTTCCAGGACTACTGAGAATCAAAACCAAGTGGAGAGTAGCATTCACTTCCTTATCCGTGGTATACTTGAGTAGTGAGAAAAGGAAGAGACCTGTGTGTGGCTGGAAGGTAGGGAGAGAAAAGTGAGCCCACTCAGTAACACATAGGATGAGAGCAGATGGGATACAGCTCTTCCCAACAGCCTTGCAAGACAGTTATACCATTGCTGTCCCACCTGACCCTGCAGTCAGATAGCTGTTCTCATCTAGCTCGCCCTCCCTCCCTCCCTCTTCCCTCCCTCCTTCCTCCCCCCTCCCTTACCCCTCTCCCTCCTCCCTCCCTTCCCCCTCCCTCCTCCCTCCCTCCCTTCCCCCTCCCTCCCTCCCTCCCTCCCTCCCTCTTCCCTCCCTCCTCCCTCCCTTACCCCTCCCTCCTCCCTCCCTCCCTTCCTCCCTCCCTCCTCCCCTTCCCCCTTCCCCCTTCCCTCCCTCCCTCCCTTCCTCCTCCCTCCCTCCGTGTGTGTGTGTGTGTGTGTGTGTGTGTGTGTGTGTGTCCATGTCATAGCATGGGTGTGGAAGTCAGAGGATAAGTCTTGGGAATCAGTTATCTTTTTCCACTGTGACTGCCACATTGAACTCAGATCACCAGGCACTTAGCCAGCTCCTAACCCCTGAACCATCTTGCCAGCCTCAGCTCTATCTGTCTATCCGTCTATCAGTCTATTATTTTGAGATAGGCTCTAACTGTGTAGCCATGCTTGGCCTAGGCCTTGCGATATAGATCAGGCTGGCCTCCAACTCATAGAGACTTGGCTGGCCTCCCACCTGCTAGGATTAAAGCTATGTGCCATCGTACTGGGTGGTTAGCTCTATCATTTTAAAATGGAGATGCTGGAAAGTGACTTTCCCACAGCCATACCAGACAATGATGACAGATTTTCCATCCTGAGGTTTCTCTGTGACTAAATACAGGGGAGATCTACAGTAGGACTCAGGGGTCAGGAGAGTTTGTAGAAATGAGGATGAGGGCTAGTTAGTGCCCAGAACTGAGAGGTCCTGGGAACCTTCCTTAGTTTGACATTTCTGTTCCTCTTGAGGACCTAGTACCTTCTCTGGTCAGTAGGACTCCGATCTATTTCATTCCCAAAAGGCTGATGGGAGGGGGACAGAGAGCTCACAGGGGAGCACAAATGGTCTGTCACAGACAGGCGGAAGAGGGAGCTAGCATGGAAGGGCCTCAGTAGGCACAGGACACGAGAAGGCTGTGGGCGCCCTGCTTGTGCTGCATGTGACAGTAGCAGACATCCACTCTGGGGCCATTCTTGTCCCTTGTCCTTCCTCAGTGCCTGCTGTGAGTGTTAAGGGGATAAAGTGAACAAAATTCCTTAGCCCTAAAGAAATACGTCACAGCTACCTCCATCCCCGGCCTGCCCCCATTCTCCAGCAGGTGATTTTCATCCTCTTAGAGAAGCCGCCTGGCAAGAGTGGGAAGGCTTTGTGCTTTGGCTGCACATTTCTCTCACAGTAAGATGTGACTCTGTGGAGGAATGTAGCTGGAGTGGGCCTCTGCCTCAGCAGGGAGGCCCAGCCTCTGCTGTGGA